CCTTCCAATCCCCAACATTCTGTGATTCTGTGATGTGCGTGATCCTGCTCCAGGTCTTCTGAGCAAGAGGTGAATGTGGCTTTGCTGAGGGACTGCTAAAGGAGCAAGAGGTTCTCTTCTCTGCCCAGGCTCTCTGGGGTCACTGTCAGGTCTCTGCTCTTCCATAGCGGCTTGAGTCTGCTCAAAATTTATAAATTGTGAAAAATAACCATTCTGCTTTATGCTGCAAATGAAAGGAGGAAACTTCTTTGATTCCTTGATTGTTTCAGTTTTTTAATTGAGACGATGTGAAAAGTAAAAGATGATTGTGGTTTTTTGGATTCAGGAAGTTGGAAATTTGTATGATATGTTCCACACACGGAATTGCCTGCACCGGCGAGCATACCAGCATAAGGTTGGCAACATCATTGAAATAATGCAAGTATTATACTTTCCTTTTCTTGCACACCATTTGTTTTTAAATTTGTGAAACTGTATGTCCGTTTGGAATAGTCAGAAAATAAATACGGTGTGACAGCCAGTAAAAGCCACTGGGCTGCATAACGCAGTTCTTGTGGCTTAGAATATCACAGAGGCTGTGATTACCCCAACATCCTTCCCCATGAGTTCAATTAGAGGAAACTTACTGAAACCCTGAAGAAGCAGAGGACCAGGGTGTGCTTCTGCTGCTTTAACTGCTGACAGCTGAAGTCAAATCTTTATCTACAAGTTAGAGACCAATAGCTCAAACTGGCTGGTTACTAGAGCAAGGTTACTAACAGAGTAGAGTAATGAGCAAGCTTATTGTAGCTCAGCCAAGGCCTGACTTCGTTTTTGTGTAATGCCACAGTAGGAATTGTTCAGGACCAACTCAGCTGGCTACCTTGATTTGTACCTTTCTTGTTGGTGTCTATAGAAGTTTCCCTATAGCATTCTTCTTACTTTTCTTGAAAAGCAGGAATACCAGTATCCCTAAATATGATCTTGACTGCTGAGTAACCATCTGCTGAGTTTATAAAAAAGGAACGCAGAGGGTTACACAGTACAAGAGTGATTTGTGACTGCTTCATTTAATAAACTTCAGCTCCTGGATTAGTGATCCTTTAAAACTCATACTAAAAATATGAAGGTTTGACAGTACCTATGTGTAAGGAGTAAAACAGCCAAGAAGTTTAATTCTTGGCTTACTGTAGTTATAGGGACCTACCCAAAAGAGCATACAAGCTGGAAATGACAACAAGGGGTACCTGGAACTTCTGAAGAACTTGGTCTTTGGAATATCAGTTTTTCCCACCTGAAAATACCACGTGTTCATGATGTTTTACTTTCACAGTGCTCTGTATTCGCTCAGTTAATTCCTGGAGCAACGAATCTGTGAAAGGATATGGTCATCTGTGAGGTAGCCTCATTGCAGCTGGGTGACCATGGCAATCTTGAAGGGTTCTGCAGTCATCTAAGCAATGTTAAGCTCATAGTCTGAAGCAGAACAACATGGACTTGCTCATTCATTGAAAGAAGGTTACGGTCTGATCTGAACCTGTTATGAGTAAATGGAGAGACTGTTGAAATGTGCACTGACAGCACGGAGATGGGACATAGGGCAGTGTGATCGGGGTCTGCTCTGTGCTTGGGATGCAGTTTCATCTATTGTCTTGTATTTATAACATACTAATGCATTTCTTTTTTGACTCTTGAGCAATAAGGTGTTTCAAAATGTTCCTTTTCTTAAGTCTTAATTTTGTCTCAAACTAGGATTACGGAAGCCTTTCAAAAAGCAGACAAATTTTTAAAAATAGAAGGCTCTGGAGGAAAACTGTACCAGATTTCCACAGCAATGGAGGACATGGAAGCCTACACTAAGCTAACTGGTATGAGCTCTCAGAATATATATATAATTTTTTTTTTTTTTTAGAGTAAAAGAACTCTAGTACCTGTTAGAATGCTGTTTTTACAGCTGTGTCCTTTCAAGTACTGCTTCTGTGCACTGATGGTGGGGCAGACCTGGACTGTCCAGTCTTGGTGCTCTCATATCTTGCTGGGAGAGCAAGACCTTCTAGTTTAAATTAATTTTATATTGAGAGAGAGAAAAAGCATCAACTACTTATGTCCTGCACACATTCAAATTCAGATTATTGTGAGCAGTGCTGTCAGGAGGTTCTGCCTGTTCCCTGAGTTTGTTACACTTGTCACAAGTGAGATGTAAGTCAGCTCTAAGTGATACTACATCTAGCTACATCAGGTAGAGAAGTACTGTATATGTGTTGTAGTGTGAAACTAACCCCAAGGTAGGTTTCAAAGGACTCTGATGGGGTCTAATTTGCTTTGCTTGAGACATTGCTACCCTGCTTGCAATATAACAGAAGAAAACAGAATATATGAGCAACTTAGTTTATTGCTGAAAGTTTCTGGTTCTAAGATAAGAGCTTGTGAGAATGGTTCTCGTAAAGCAAATACACAGAACAACCTGCTTGAAGACATGTATGTGGGGGAACTCCAGCATGATTACAGAGTGAAGCAAACAAGAGCTCAGACTTGTGATGTTTTCCTGGAAAAAGAGTCTAACTGCTGGCAGCCACTTCTCAAGGTCGGGCTCAGTGCTGTGAAGAGGAGACACGGAGAAATGACTGAATTCAGGGAAACTGGCTTGTGTTGTGTCCTCTCTTAAGTAGCTTCACAGGTTCCCACCATTGTGGTGTCTGAATTTTTGTCTGCCTCTCCTGGTCTTTGCTGTGTGACACTCCAGCCTTCCTCTGGTTGGTGTTCAGTGCTGCAGCACACCCTTACCAACTTCATGTGGCGTGGGGGGTGGAGGCCAGTGTGGGCAAGGCAGACCTTGCTGCACTGAGGGCTTTGTGGTTGGGTGACTACAGGGCAGAGGATGCTGCAGACCCTGCTGGAGAGTGCTCCCAAGTATTGGCAGCTCTTGCAGCATCTGTGAGCTACAGCTCACGAGGACTCCCAAGGCATCTCTCCTGAGTGGCAAGACAGGTTTCCTGAGCTTCTATCCCCAAGCCTTGGCTGGCTAATAGAGAGAATAAAGAACTTCTATTTTTGGTCCATGGACAAGATGACAGAGGCTGAGGGCACTGTTGCAGATGATCCTGTGTGCCTTAAACCTGTCATGCTAAAGGCCTTCTGCTGACAACCCTTCATCTGTCACAGCCACATTCAGCCTGACCATAGACCTGCTGTGTTGGGCAGGTGAAGGGGCTGCACAGGGTGCTGAGACGAGGAGCTGCCTGGCTCTTCTGGCACTGTGTGTCTCTGCCCCAGGGGAGGAGAAGGGTCTGGCTTTGAGGGGCAGTAGCTATTGCAGAGCACGAATTGCAGTGTTGGGCCATGAAAGGCTGGGCAGAAAGGCAAGAACTGAGATTAAGTTCATAATGGGCTAGGATCTGTCCTCTGGGGGCTGTCTGGTTTGGAAGATCAGCCATGCTAGCAACTTAGCACCAGGGTCCTGTTGTAACTGCCTGCTCACCTGGTGAGAAGCACAGCTCAGGGTGAGACCAGGACTGTCCCCTGCCTCTTACAGTCCGCTGCTTGCTGAGACTGTCAGGTTCAACAAGGAGAGTTGAACAGCAAGGAGAGTGGTGCGAGGAATATGCTGCCATCAGATGTAGCAGTGGATGATAAAGGATGAGTATGTTCTCCTCCTTAACCAAGGCACTTCCTTCCCTGCATCCAGTGGTTGCAACCTGGGGCTTCTGAGAGGACAATAGGCTTGCTTTCCATAGGCCATGATGAGTAATGCTTCTGTGAAACTGTCCAGTTGCCTCTTGGATCTTTGTAAGTGATTAACCTCTGTGAGGTTCTGCAGCAGAAGTTCCCCAGCTTTCTTCCACTATGGGTGCAGAACCACCAGTAGTTTTCAATTTGTTGCCTCCTAATTTGACATCAAGTCCTAGTTTTAGTGAAGGTTGAGACAGAAAACTGTTCCTTGTCACTGTGGCTTTTGCACAATGGATATGTTCATGAGCTGCTTGTTTCCTCTGCTCTATCTCTTCTCTCAAGCTGAGGAGACCTAGTCTGTTGTTCCTCATGGAGTGGTTCCTGACTTTGATCATAAAACTAACCCTCATTTAAAGGTGTTTTGGTACACGGCTCATAGCTTGCTTCTGGAATGTGTTGAGAACTTCTAAAGCCAGTTGCAGTCCTAGGCAGGGTGTTACAGAGCTGTGTTTGCAGCACACGTCAAAGCTGCCTGGGTATTTCTGGCCAGGGAACGCGAACAGGCGGGGAGTGCAGCTGCGTTGGCTGTGGCAGGCGAGCAGCATCCTGACAGCAGCAGACTCTTTAGGAGAGCCAGAAATGACCTTTCTGCTCCAAAGCCACATCAAATGAAACCTGTGCCTTGTTGCTCATATTGATGGTGTAAAGCACACTGCACACTTCACTGTCATGTGGACAGGAAGGGGGGACCTTGGTAGCATCCAAAGTCTGAGAAATTCTGAAGGTTTAACAGAAGTACTTTATCAAGATGGAGCACCCTTGTCCCTGAGCCAGTTAGTGCTGGGG